GTGGCCCCTCAGTTAAATTACATTCAGAACCAAACTCATCACCTCCTTTCTAGCCCACCTCTCTTTGGTAAATGGCAGCTCCACTGTTTTTGTTAATTTTGGTAAGGGTTTAGTTTTAATTTAATTTGATAAGTGAATGTAGTCCTAGAAATCACATTTCCATTCTGCCATGGCTGAGGATGACAAAGCATGGTGGAATCAGCAATTAATTGAAAGTGATTCCCAACTTAGTGGTAGAAAGAAAGTCTTGTGTGCAGTCACACCCCATCCATTTTCCCTACACGCAGAATCATGTTGGCTTTGTCTAGTAGGTAGCGGGACAAATAGAAAGTAAGAGACACAGGGGTGTTAGACATTCCCTAATGTTAATGCCAAGCTCTAATGAATGTCAAGAGGCGTTTCTTCTCAGTGTACTGAAATAATCTTTTGTTCCTGAGCATTACATCTCTGCAAAGGACTTAGAGATTACTTGGGAAACACGACCACGATCTCCAGCCTTTACCAAAGCCAATCGTGCTGGGGGCTGGGGGGGGAGGGCAGGGGAGCATATACCTATTAGACCTTATCTGCCAGGAAAATTGCAATAAAAGACAGTGAGACACAGAGAGCCTGTCCAGCCTGTCCTAGGCTCAGTCATCCCCAGACAGGCTCCTAGAAGCTACCAGGACCCTCACGCCCGTGGACCTAAACCATGCCTTGGCTTTTGCCTTTGTCAGGTGTGGGCTTTGAACAATAACCTAGGCTTGCTCACCCAAACTGAGAACCAGGCCCACATCCTCCAGTTGAGTCCAAGCTATCCGATCTCCCCTTGGCCTAGAGCCCAGGCTTTCTTGTAATCTCTCCTTATCGGGGGTTGGGAGTGGGGAATATATTCCAGGACCCCCAGTGGATGCCTCAAACCCCAGACAGTACCAAACCCAATAATTATCCACCAGAACAAGTTTTTGTTCAAGTCTTCCCAGCACAAATGTCATGCCTTTTCCATGTTACTACACACCCTGCACAGTGGCTGTAAGTTCTGCAGTTTGAGGTGTGACAGAAAAACTAGCACAGGGTGGCGCCTGTGGCTCAAAGGAGTAGGGCGCTGGCCCCATATGCTGGAGGTGGCGGGTTCAAACCCAGCCCCAGCCAAAAACTGCAAAAAAAAGAAAGAAAGAAAAAGTAGCACAAATGCTTACTGTTGTATTATACTCCCTGTGCTGTTCAGCACAGCATTGTGGGGTACAGGTATCTTTCCTTCTACACAGTTTCACTTACATGAGATTCCTTCTAGTCTTAGCAACTCAGCATAAGGTTTTTTTTCCTTAGGAACTTTTCACCATATTCTCTTAGCAGCAGTTCTCAACCTTCCTAATGCCGCAACCCTTTAATAGAGTTCCTCACATTGTGGTGACCTGCAACCATAAAATTATTTTTGTTGCTACTTCATAAAGTACTTCTCAAGTATTTATAATCATTATTATATTTTTAACCTTTATTCTTTAATGAAACAAATATTTGATACACTGTACAAAGGCTGGAGTAAGAATAATTCCAGATTATTGCTGACATAGAGCCTGTACTTTAAAGGACAGATGTGTAAACAAAGACTCACAACAGGATGATGGTGAGGTGTGTCCAGAGCAGCAGGACAGGCACATGCAGCTGGGCATGGATGAACAACAGGGGCGCGCTCTGCCAAGTGTGTTGTTAGGAGGTTCCGTCTCTGTGGGACATCAGACGTGCACTGCCTGGATGGCAGAGCCTGCCGCCCACCTAGATAGACACTGTGGTGCAGCTGCTGCCCCAAGGCTGCAGACCTGTGCAGCTGCTCCTGTGCTGCGGACTGCCGGCAGCGCAACACACTTGACCACGTCTACACAGAGAAAA